TGAGGGGGGGGGAGGAAGTAGGAGAAGAGAGAGAGAGCGGGAGCGAGAGACCGGAGGCTCAGGAGAGAAGGCCAAGATAGAGGAGAGACCTGAAAATCCCGTCTTATGAGGGGCTAATTGGCTAGTTGAGGAAGAAAGAGGCATCATCTAGGGAGCAGAATGAGATCACTCGGTCCTTTCAAACACGGGGGCGGGGGGAAGTCTGCAACAAGTCGTTTGAGGACACCCCCTACCTCCTACAGACCATCCAGAATGCCCCACAAGCAACTCCCCCAGAGAGCCCTGAAAAGTCATCAGGCTGGGAAGGAAAGGGGACTCGTTCAAAGAAACAGCTTCTGCTGGAAAGAGAAACTAGATCGTGTCCAAGTGGTACAGGCTGTATTAAATGCATTTGACTCGGGACCTGGTTTGGAGAGGGCAATGGTGGTGGAGGGGGAGGGGGGGTAGAAAAGTTGCATTTTCAGTCCCTGTTGCCCTGGAAATCCAAAGGGAATTGGAAAATCTGGGGGTTTGGGGAGGAGTGTGGGATGTTTACAAGGCTGGGAGCTTTGCAGATTCATGAGGCAAGCTCTGTGTCATGAGGTTTTCTTTGGACAGTGCCCGACATTCCAACTCTTGCTTCACAGACATCAGCTTTTGTTTCCTGCCTGTAGCAAGCCGGGGCCTTGTCCCTCCTAACGCAGCTGCGTGGAAAAATATCCCTTCAGGGATCAGAAACGAGACAACCTCCTCTCCCCAGAGCTGCCTGGGCTCACCTCATAGGAAGAATCTTATTCACACTCATAAGATCACAGTGGCAAGAGTCGGCACACAGTGTAATCATGAAAACAACACACAAACTGGCCGACAGCTGGATCTGACAGATTAGTTTGCAATAGGCTCAAAGCATCTTGTCCATTTCAGTTCCTCCACCCCACCCTGTGTCTCGAAGCCGGCTGCATGTTGAACCAATATTTGCCGACTCCTGCCAAGCCATGGAAAGGGTCAGTGGTTTACATTTTTCCACTCGGTCGCTGCATTGCCACGGGATTCTGAGAACTGCTCATCCATCTAAGCACTAAAATAAAATCAGCATGAGGCTCTGGAAGACGAAGTCAGCTCAGGTCACTCCTTGACAAGGAACAACACTGCAAAGAGACTAAACGTTCCCTGTCTGGAAGCAAGCTTAGAAGAGAAGGATACTTACATAGGGTTGGCTCCTTCGATGAGAGCAGCAGATAATGCACGTGGCTGCAAGTTATGCATGCATGTGGCATCCAGACAGGCCTGGAGCCAATGACAGCATCATTCCAGGAGCTGGTCCTACATACAGGTGGATGGGAAGGAACCTGCTCAGCATCATGTTAAGAGGACAAGTTTCACAGGGACAGAAATTGCTCTGAGCAGGTGTGGGGTAAGGGGGAGAAGGGGATGCAGAATGGCCATGGGGATGGGGGCAGGACAGGTGTCCCCAATCTCCAGGAACAGAGGCACAGAGAGGGTAAGTGACTTGCCCGTGATCACACAGGACTTAGAAAAAAAAAGCCAGGAATTGAAGCCAGGTGTGCCCAGGCTAGAACCCTAATCACTGCAGCCCTACCTCTCCTAGCCCTGCTGGGACGGACACGGCATTCAAACCACAGCATGTGCAAACAAGAGCCCCTGGGCTGAGCAGGGCAACACAGCCAGTCTCTCAAGAGGAGATGGAAGGGGCGTGGCTTGTCTAGCCAGATGATGGCTGAGGGGTTCCACCTGCTCTTGGTGAATTACAGCGCGAAGAGCTTTAGGAGCCAAAGGACAATGCTGGCACAAGAACAATTGCAAATCCACTGGCGAGGGCTCAGTCGAGGCTGCGCAGGAGGAAGTGTGCACAAAGGCGTGCGGCCTCAGCAGGACCGTGCGGGGAAAGGCGTGCGGCCTCAGCAGGACCGTGCGGGGAAAGGCGTGCGGCCTCAGCAGGACCGTGCGGGGAAAGGCGTGCGGCCTCAGCAGGACCGTGCGGGGAAAGGCGTGCGGCCTCAGCAGGACCGTGCGGGGAAAGGCGTGCGGCCTCAGCAGGACCGTGCGGGGAAAGGCGTGCGGCCTCAGCAGGACCGTGCGGGGAAAGGCGTGCGGCCTCAGCAGGACCGTGCGGGGAAAGGCGTGCGGCCTCAGCAGGACCGTGCGGGGAAAGGCGTGCGGCCTCAGCAGGACGGTGCGGGGAAAGGCGTGCGGCCTCAGCAGGACGGTGCGGGGAAAGGCCCTACGGTGTCTGAAGACAGACCATGATCCATTTCTGGCTGGGCAGATGTAACAGGTGTGACCTCAGCAACCATTCCAGGCCTATGGCTCCACATTTCGTGGTCCAGCTCTCCCACAGGACAACTGGAATCTTGCAAAGCAACTTCAAAGGCCTGGGGGCGTCAAGGTATTTGGAGGGGAATCCTGAAGTCAATGGCAGAGCCCCCTGGGATGGGGGAAGAGCAGCCCTCCAGCGAGCAGGGGAGGAATTCCTTGAGTGGTATTCTATTCCTACCTCTGGAAGTGTCACCAGACCCAGTCCAAGCAGGATTTGGGAGGTGATATTTCCAGGTGCTTCCTGGGTTAGGGCACAGGCCGAGATTCTTTGGTGGCTCCCCCTGGTGCCCCATTCCCTAAAGCCTGGGGAGGGAAGTGATCTCCAGGGAGGCCCACCAGCAGCTGGCAGCACCCAGTTGAACAGTCCCAGAACCCATTACTCTCCTGACCTCCTAGCGTGGAGGTGCCCAGCTTGCTGCCCCAGATCTGTTGGAAGATACCTTCAATGCTGCCATTCCAGGGCCTCTCACCAGAGC